TTTGGGGGGTGACATGGATGAAATTGTTCGGTCTGGGCTTGCTATGACCGAACGGGTGGATGCGGCTGGCGTGGCAGCCTCTTGTGCTTCAAGATGCGTGAACATGTTTTTTTTACGAGATGCGTAAACATGATTCGACGGTACTAAAATCGTGACGTTTGGCACCTATCGTATCATTTTGGTCACTTCAAAAACCAGGGACGAGCGGTTTTCTGGGTGACGTGGCATGGGTTTTACCCAAACGTGCATCTGGCGGTCCAAGGTGGCATGGCATTCCACCTCTCAATCCTCTTCCTCCTCGTCTGCTGGGGCATTTCACCAAGTGCGTGGTGGGCAGCTCGTCATTGAGGCCAAGGACTGTAGCCGGCGCCGACAGATGGCGGACGGAGGGCATGAGCAGAGCTACGATGGAGACGTTGGGCGTGCACGGCCGGCACTCAGGATTCAGGAGCAAGGCAATGGCGGCGTAGACGGGGAGACTGAGGGGATGATGATTCAGCAGACGGAGATGCACTCGGGAGCGCCGACTTGGGCGGCCGCGTCCCTTCCCCTCGCCTCGCAGGTAACCCCCCGCAGCTCAATCCGATTCCGATCCACCTCGCCGTCGCCCCGCTAAATGCATAGCCCACCTTTTCCTATGAGTTTAAGTTTTTGGGCGAGTGCAGTTCTACACTAACTTTGACCATTGATTTGATCAACTAAATGTATATTACTATGTCATTAAAATACTTTTCGTGGCACATAGCATATACGCGGATTTTTCGTGGCAAACTGATGGTCAAAGTTAGAAACATTTTTTTTGCTTAGGCGTCATGTCGTACGACCAAAAAGAACTCTAACTTGGTTTTAGGCACACAAAAAAACCTCAATGCAACAATACCAAGATCTAGACACATAGAAAACGGCGCTTAGTTTAATTATGTACCATGCCAAGCAAGTACTAACATTCAGACACTGTATTTGTAAAATGACACCATTTTATCTTAGTGACATGTGAACCCAGTTGGTGGGGGGCTTTTTTGTGAGTATTATTTGGTGGAAGTGGCAAATTTACATTTATTTTTTATGAAAGATAGATTTAATTATTTATACCGCATAACAAGAGGTACTGACATATGACCCTTAAGACTGCTCACAGTGGGGAGTAACGTAGAGTAGTAACTTGCCGATGTTACTAGTCTATGTTACTACCTTCATAGTGGGTAGTAACATATAAGTGATATCATGAAAGAGTTCATTTATTAGGCTATAGACTCATTATGCATTGAAATGTGTGATGTTACAGTAACTAGCTAAGTTACCACAAACCCCTCTCTCCTCATTAATTAGCTGCCACATAAGCAATCTTGTATTGAAATATGTGATGTTACAGTAACTAGCTAAGTTACCACAAACCCCTCTCTCCTCATTAATTAGCTGCCACATAAGCAATCTTGTATTGAAATATGTGATGTTACTAGTTAAGAGGGTGCTTGGATACGTTTTAGTCCCATGACTAAAAGTAGTGGGACTAAAACTTGCTAGCCCCACCCATGCTTGGATCCAAATACTAAAGAGACTAAAATCAAGTTATTGAGCATTTATTATCCTCCAAACCCTCCAATCCAGAACTCGCATGTGTTAAAGGAGAGGCATTAAATGATGAAAGAGAGGGCTAATACATATTTTAGTAGGTTTCCTATGACTAAAAATTTTTAGCCTCAAGACTAGTCCTAGCCTCTCTTTAGTCAGGGGTGCTTGGAACTTTAGCCTCTAAAAGAGACTATTTTTAGTCAGACTAAAAATAGTCTCTTGGATCCAAGCACCCTCTAAGTTACTTCCATTGTGACTAGTCTAAAAATGATCAACTGGTTCTCTTTTATTTTAATTTTGTCCTTCGTTGGGCCAAGCATTTAATATGTAAGCTTTTTGCGAATCCGAGGCGCCTGACCAGCTCGAGGCCCTATGTACACTGTCCCAGTAGTAGTACTAGTACTGTGTGGTTCAAATGGACCAGTTCACCACACAAATGGATAGAAATGCAGAGCTCCACTGGTGCTCTAGATGTAGCTAGTTGCTCTCACAAGAAACATGAGGCAATGACGTGATCCATAGCTTGGGAGACCATCATTCCGCTGGTGAGATATTGTGTGCCTTCCCTTGTAGTATCTCTGTAATCGTCCTCTCAAGGATCTCTCTGAAATTTGCTTCCCAAATTTACATCCTAGCATTTCTTCTCTCGCTTGTTCATTGCCTATGAAGTCTGCATTTGTTTTAACTAAGCTGACTCCACTAGATCAGAAGTTTTCCCATCTTGGCCTACATATTTTACTCTCGGTTGACTCAGATCTAAGCTAAGGCTATTTCGGTCAGATCTAAGCTAAAGAGAGAACTGAAAACTCGAATAGATTTGCAAGGTCGAGGATCAGAAGGACACGGCTAGTACATTTCCTATCTTGTTTTGCTGGGCCAGACTCAGCCAATTTATGTGGTGCCAAATGATGTAGGGGACACCATCTTTCTGCAAGTTTTAACCCTCCATCTATTGCCTATTGGCATGGCCTGTAGATGCTAGATTGCTGAGGAACATAAGCTCCCAAAACAGAGTTGCAAGGTTATTTTTACTTGGAACGTTACTTCCAGATTTTCATTTAGACAAAGCTAACGAGGAAGAAAGACTTTGATAATGATGCAGATTGCTTGTACTATCTCCCCCCTTCTCTAATCATCATACCTTTGTGTTCAATGTACTTGGTAGTAGTATTTCACAACCTACATCTGTGTTCAGTGTATCTGAACTAAATGCAAACTTGACAATCCCATACGCTAATTCTGCATGCTATATATGTGCCATTTACATTATCATCTTATATTAATCGTACTAGTTATATTTATCTAATGGTTCTTTTCCACAATGACAGGATTTGAAAGTGACATAGAAGAGCACTGCATTTAATATTAGGAAGAAACTTAGCAAAGATGGCAGAGGCTGTTGTTTATGTTGTGCTTGGGAAAATTGCTGCTAGTTTGGGGCGAGATGCTATAAATGCAATAGGAAAAGAAGCATCGGATTTACTTGAAGCTGAGAACAACATGAAGCAGCTTGAGATTGAATTTAGAGTTATGAAAGCTTTTCTAATCCAAGTAACAATGTGCTCATCACGTAATCTGGCTTTTGATGCGTGGCTTGATGAGGTAAAGAGGGTTTCACATGACGCTGAGGATGTAATTGACGGGTATGAATACCTGCTTGGACAATCAAATACACAAGGTTGTAGTTCACTGAAGAAACTATGGCGCCGTTCCAAACATGCGGGTGGTTGGCGAAGCATTACTGAACAGCTTAAGCAGATTGAGGTCCGCCTTTCAAAGCTCACAAACATGAGAGATCGTTATGGTATTGCAATCAATGTAGAAGAAGTTAACCACACAAGCCAGAATGGTCAGCTGGAACATGCTCTGGACTCAACATGTATAAACATCGAGGATGAGGTGGTCGGGATTGAAGAAGAAACATCATGGCTCGTACAACAGTTGATACACGGGCAAGAAGAACGAACAATCGTCTCTGTCTGTAGTATGGGTGGTTTAGGCAAGACGACTCTTGTCCGCCAGGTCTATAAAAAGGATGAAATTAAGCACAATTTTGACTGTTCTGCATGGATTTCAGTTTCTCAAAGTTACAACATTGAACATCTGTTGAGGGAACTATTAAAGCAGCTCCAGGAGAAGGAAAAGGACATCCCTCGTCAGGTTGGCACTAGGGATGCTGCAAGCTTGGTACAAACACTAACGGACTTCTTGCAGGACAAAAGGTATTTGATTGTCTTGGACGACATGTGGGGTCGAGATGCCTGGGTATTAGAGCCTTGCTCGGGTGCACCCCCCTAACTCAATTTCCTAGGGGTATTCTTGACCCCCGCCATCTATTCTTTTCTCCGGCCCGCCGCTGCCCATATCCAAGCCCCGTAGCCCATATCCAAGCCCCGTATAACCCGTATGACCCATACGCATGTATACGGTGACATCCCGAAAAAAAAGGATGACACGACCCCATGACCAGGTAGGACCTGCCGACGGCCGATCCATCAATCACGCAGCTCAATCAGTCACGCAGCTCCATCATTCACGCAACTCCTCCATCATTCTGGTGAGGTTCTTTAGGAATATCGGCGGCGGCGATCTCGTCCGACAGCGCGCGCGGCACCGTCGTCAACCTCCAGCGCTCGCAGGTACCGCATCTCGTTTCCTCACGTTTGTCTCGCTCGCGGCAGCATCAAACGAACTGCCGTTGTTTTCGTCATAGTGGTTAACCTAGCGGGGCGGGTAACCTAGCTTTCTGGCGGTCCAGGCCATCGCAGATCTTGTTCTGGTAGTGCTGCTCGTCGTGATATACACAGTGATCACGCGGGCTAAAGTGGGTTTCTTCTTTTTAGGGTTAACCTAGCGTCGGTTGCCGTCGGTTGTGTGCACGGCGGATCCGTTATTTGATGCGGCGGCTTAACTAGGTATCCGGCGATCCAAAGTAATCACGACTGGTGCCGTGGGCTAGGAATCCGGCGGCGCATGTTATCACGGGTAGCACAGCTTCTCGCGATCCAAAGTGATCACGTACTGGATCCGTGGGACGTACCTTAACGCTGCTCGGTGTGGAGAGGGGGAGGATCCATGGCTGATCAGAGGTCATTGGCGTCGGTTGTGTCCACGAACTGAACGCCCTCAGTTGGGGCGCTCTCCGGTTGGGGTAGTTTATTTAACATCCGTGATCGTGTGCTAGGTGTTGTATATGTCAGCATTGATAATGTTTGCACATGCGATGATACATATTAATTGTTGTAGGAAATGGCGGACGATGAGTTAACTGATATGATGTATGACATGGAGTTTGGAGAAGTGATGAAAGACTGGATAGAAGATTGGTCAGATGATGAAAATTCAGATCGTGGAGATAGGTCAGAGAATGGGAACGTATTGGAAGATCTTAATGTGAGTCGCATTATCATGTTGTAATTTTTTGGTGGCATCCGACAATATTATATTGTGAAAATTTATAGATGGATGAACATGATGATGGTCAGGAAAATAATGAGCATGATGATGGTGAGGAAAACAACTCGGAGATCTTGAATGAGGATTACATTAGTCAGGTATGGAGGTGGAATTTTTTGTTGGCATTCATGCAAGTTGAATAAATCCTGGAATATTATATTATAAGTACTTATGTATTTGTATTATATTTTTCAGCTCATTTCCGAATGTCATAATGCGTACGACTTACGGTGAATCCGACATGGAGACAGGCCTTGATGTCTAATCATTAGCTGCACCTGATTCTGGGGAGTCGCAATCGTCGGTCATCATGAGTGAGGTATGTATGTAATGAATGTTGTATGGAAGTAATGTTATACCATAGAAAATTGTTTTCATGGCTATGTTATGATTGTGTAGGTGACAGAAGTTGAGGGGAAAAAGAATGTCCAAGATACTGCTAGTGCAGATGATAAGAGGGATATGTTCATGCAGATAATACAAAAGACTTTTACGTCTCATGAGGCTACGTATGATTTCTACAACAGCTATGCTAGAGAAAATGGTTTCAGCATTAGAAATAATAGGGTCAGGTATACCAAAACCGAGTCACGTCAAATGCATTATAGGCGGTTTGTTTGTTCCAGACAAGGAAAATGTGATAGCAGGTTGCTAACCGAGGAAGGACACAACCGTAGGCTCAGACCCGAGACACGCTGCCACTGCGAAGCGCACCTGACCGTGAAGTTTGACCAAAAGCGTGGGGTTTGGTATGTTGATAGTTTTGAGGACAAGCATAGCCATATCTTGGCAGGACCGGACGAGGTACCTTTTCTTTGGTCCCACAGAAAAATCAAAGAGTACCAGAGAGCTGAGATACTGTCCACGAGAGCTGCAGGGATTAGAATTCACGACATGATGGATTCGTTCATTAGCAAACATGTATGGTATGGCAGTGTTGGTTTTACCAGGCGTGAAATATACAACCTTTGTGCCAGGGAGAAGAGGAAGCTGCTTTCAAAAGGTGATGCTGCCACAGTCATAGGCATCATGGCCAGTAGGAAACAGAGGGATCCTAACTTCTTTTTCGAGTACAAGCTAGACAAGAAAGGACATATGAATAGGATGTTCTGGTGTGACTCCCAGTCTCGTCATGACTATGAGGACTTCGGCGACGTGCTTGTATTTGACAGCACATACAAGATGAACCGGTATGGTATGCCATTCATACCCTTTGTTGGTCTTAACCATCACCGGAAGACCACTGTTTTTGCTTGTGCCATAGTTTCGGACGAGACCGAAGAGACATATGTGTGGCTGCTGGAGACTTTTTTGAGGTCCATGTGTCAAAAGATGCCGAAGAGTGTTATCACGGACGCCGACGCTGTGACGATCAAGGCAATTCGCCAAGTCTTGCCAGACATGTGGCACCGTATATGTACGTGGCATATAGAAAAAATATGAAGATTCACCTCAGTCACAAGTCCTTGAAGGAGTTCCGAACTCTTCTGTACTACAACACGTCCACGGCCACGTTTGAGGAGGGATGTCACGCGTTTTCCAAAAGATGGCAGTCGGAAAAAACAGTAACATGGTTGAGATGGATGTATAAGAAGAGGAGACTGTGGGCCGCGGCTTATCTGACAGAGGGTTTTTGTCTTGGCATGAAAAGCAACCAGAGGAGTGAAAGTCTAAACTCATGCCTTCACCTCCACCTAGACGGTGAAATGACCCTGGTGGATATAATTTTGCACTATGAGAACGCCGTTGTACGTATCCGTGAGAATGAGGCACGAGATGATTGCACGGCCTCACAGAGTGTACCGGTGGCAGTTACTAGCTCGAGGGAACTTGAGATAGCTGCTTCTCACGTCTTCACTCCAGCAAACTTCTATATGTTGCAAGCTGATCTTAGGAAAATTGGCGGCATGGAGATTGTAGAAATAAAGCTCGGAGACGGATCACAGCAGTACATCGTGGCCTGGAAGAATAACTGGAAGAGCCGTTTTTGGGTGGAGTACACTCCAGTAAATTCCGCAGAAACTATAAGGTGAAGCTGCAGAAGAATGATTCGAAAGGGCCTACCTTGCAAGCACATATTCCATGTACTGAAGTACTTGAATATATCTGAAATACCAAAGTGTTTAGTTCTTGTGCGGTTCACGAAAGACGCAAGGTTGGGACTGCCCGCGAGGCGCACAAGTGATCTATTGGGATTTGGATGGACTGGAGCAGCTGAAAGAATGAAATATAGCCAGGTCAGTGTGTTGGCTTCAGAAGCTATGCATGCAGCATGCAAACACCCAGTTTTGTGGGATCAGTTATAGGAGAGTTTGAAGACCGTGATAGCTAAGAGCCATGAGTATGATCAGCTAAAGGAAAATTTGAGTAAGAAAACGGTTGATCTTAGTACTTGTGCAATTGAATATGTAGACGATGGTGAAGGCAACATAGTTGAAGTTCAAGATCCTATTAAAGTATCAACGAAAGGTGCAACTAAGGTAGATGAGAACCGCCCTATGTCGAAAAATGGTAGGCCACTTTCGTACGACGAGATCAGAATCAGGTGCGGTGCATGCAAATTGCTAGGGCACACTAAACGCAGCAAGAAATGCAAACTAAATAAGAAGTAAGTTTTTGTACGCATTGTAGGTTATAATTGTTTTTAATTTGTCATTCATTAACTTATCCTGTTATCGTGTGCAGAAGCGTGGTGGGCGAAGAAGAGTAGAACAGTTGCTAGAGTTATGTTAGGATGAATCCAGTGATCTAATAGTGAGGTGTTTACAATGTGTTACTGCATACATGATACATGATATATAATATTGCAAGAGGCCAGTACCTTGAGATAGTGCTTGTGGCATATATGGACTAAACAGGAGGCGGTCACTAGGGAATTTAATCATGGAGAATGGATAGCATTTTAGCCATTGTAATGATGTCATCTTTTGTGTTGTCCACTCAAATTATATTATATTAGAAAACTAGACGATACCCGGCATGTTGTTGCGGGAATGTTTTGCAATATATTCATAGAGAAATGGTTACGTGTAAAATGTATATGTTGTTGCGGGAATCTTTTGTTTGCATGTTGTAGTGGACCTTTCTCCATACATGTTGAATGACGAGGTGGCAAACTTGCATGTTAAGAGAAATAGGTTAGTGGTGGCTAGTTGTTTAGATATAGAAGATGTAATTATGTGTGGTAATAATTAATTTTTTTTCACTCCTTTGGTTCAGCACCATTTAGATATGGAAGATACCAGCTCACGTTGGTCTATAGTATAGACTTCGTACCAAAAACCCACCATTTTCACCTCATAAAGAAAAGAAAAACCCACCATTTTAGGGCTTGTAGTGTAACTCGGGCCGCTTGTCGCGATGACGTGGAGGGGGGGTGACGGATGCCGTTAGACGGCGCGACACACGGCCGCTCCCGTTGCCGAGCCCATTTAACATTTTTTATTTTGATTACAACCCGTTTAAATGGCCGCGCTGGCCACCTGGTCGGGGCGGTTCTTCCCTCATGATCTCCACGCGCGTTCTATCTGTTGGGGAACGTAGCAGAATTTTAAAATTTTCTATGCATCACCAAGATCAATCTATGGAGTCATCTAGCAATGAGGGAAAGAGGAGTGCATCTACATACCCTTGTAGATCACGAGCGCAAGCGTTCAAGAGAACGGGGTTGATGGAGTCGTACTCGACGTGATTCAAATCACCGATGACCAAGTGCCGAACGGGCGACACCTCCGCGTTCAACACACGTATGGTTGGGAGACGTCTCCTCCTTCTTTATCCAGCAAGAGGGAAGGAGAGGTTGATGATGATCCAGCAGCACGA